CGGGACGAACAATACTAAGGAAGGGGCACTGTTACGACAGCGGAAGTCACGTGAATCTGGTAACACGTGATGATTTTCTAGAGGTATCGGGGAACCTCACGAATATCCCAGTATTTGCTAGACGCCCTCTTTTTTAGTATATAAGCCCGGCAAAATTGTGTGAATCGCTGTGAATTCTAGCGTGTGTTTAAGTTAAAGTGACTGTGGAAATTCTGTGTATTACAAAGTTTGTAACGAGAAAAAATAAACTAGTTGTAATTAAGAAAGGACTTGTATCGCTGAAGTTTCTCGGAAAGAATTTTTACGGAAAATTAACAAACGACCAGAGACGTAACAGTACTATTATATTTATATAGATAAACCCTACAACAATGCAATTCAATACGTGAACTGTATGTCTGAAGGCTTATAAGACTAAACATCGGGTTTCGATACATACCTGTGATGAGTACACCACAGATATCCCATTGAGTAATTTTGTGTTTAACAACAACAACAAACAAAACGTGAACTTTACCGGTTGTGAACAATACAAAAACAAGTCGGTAGTTTAAATGTTAATATGACAGTATAATATTATTTTGTTTCACTAACAAAAAGATAGCATTTGCTACAAATTAAGTGTTTTATTATCAAATATTTGTCATGTATTTTTTGCCAAAAAATGAACTTTTATAAGAAAAAAATATAATAATTATTAATGATTATCAGAGAAGTAATTCACCTTAAAATACATGAATATGAGAATGTTACGACTAATTTAAACGACATAAGTTTATTACAAATATTTATTAATTTACTATAATTAGTTTGCTGGGTCATAAAAGGATATATATATGTATATTATTTTTCCGATTTGTTATTACAGTTGGTATTATATAAAATTCAAGGTATACATATATTTAAATTCCTGATCCTCTGGTGTCAAGAGCTTAATGCATTTGGCGGGAAGTAAGACTGAGTAGGAGAATAACTCTCATATTAGCTTTACGAGTTAATTTATATAGACGTTTAGTGGAAACGATAAAGTTTAGAATCAGGTAAATGAATATTTTATTTTTACTATGTGTATTTTATTTAATTAATAAATATAATTATATTATAATAAACTTATGAATAATTATTGGAGCGTGAATTCAGAAAATTTAAAAATTTGTATTAAAATTACAATTCTACTAGTAGTACAAAGAGTAGTAATCTTACATAGCCGGTAACAGTAACAGTTATGAGTTGAAAATGTATAACTTCTAGAAAGCAGAAGTATACTTAATAATAATCGTACCATTGTCGTCTTTACCTAAGGTTTATGGTGTTAAAGTTAGTTCTGTTTTCTGGATTTTTATTTAAAATTTTGTAAGTTGGAGTACTAGCACTGTGTTTAATAACAAATATCACGTTTATTTCTTTATTGAAATATTTAAACTATCAAATGTTAGAATGCACGAATAATTGTAATAATTGAGTTGGTGAGTCCAAACAAAAATAAAGATACTGGACAAACTGAAATACAGTGAAATAGATGTAACATCAGGTTTGAAGTTAAAATAATTAATAATAATATATAATAGTGTCACTCAAAGCTTTAAAATCATTTACTATTTCCAATTTTTTAATTTAGTAATTAAGTTTAGGTCACCTCTTAATTTATTTAGAATTCATGTTTTGTATTTGTAACAAATTTGTAAACTTGAATAATATTAGTAACTAGCTAGTCTTCAGAGGAGTTTCATTGTTTCGTCTTCAAAAATAGAGATAATAACTATCAATAATCAAGATTCAATATTTTACTGGTAATAGTAGCTTTTGTTTACCACTTATGAATTATTTTGAATAAGAAGTAAGATCCTTATAGTTATGCCAGTTAACATACCTTCTTCAAGTTCTTGTATTTTTATATTTACTTATTTTTTTACTTGTAGATTTAAAAGTCATTATTAAAATACTTAAGTGTGTTTGGTATGGTTTCTTTCAGAAATAAGATCCTGCTTTAACATATAATGCCAGCAGAAAAGAAATATCTGAGATATGCCCATTGTGAAGGTTATACAGATTTGTGTTATGATAGCAGTAGCAAGTGAGTCTCTTTACCCCTTATATGATTGTAAGTCTGCTATGAATTTCCTCCCAGTCATTTAGTAGAAGAATATTTAATGCAATAAATTAATACCTTTGTTCTTATTAATTCAACATACCCAAAAAGAAAAACAGATGGATGTATGTTGCATGTCTTTAAAGCTTACCTTATAATTGCTGATGGAGATATGGGCCTCATCGGCTTTTTAAAAACTCATATTTTTCTAAACTTTTTATGCATGAAATTGGTTATAGGTCCATCACTTTGTTAGGTACAGGAACCCTAATAACATAAGTCATGCAAAACAATGTGAATGAAAGTATTATTAATGTTGCAATTTATGCCACTAATTACAGCTGGGGAGACTTCTATGTACTTCACTTAGAAAATAATTGATTTTGCTCAATTTCATTTGTCAGTTCTTTACACTTCTGAAATATAACACAGACAAAAACATTAAATTACTTAAGTTAAGGTGATACGGTATGTGAATGATAAAAACAATTTGGAAATTTGAAGAATAATCTACATATGTATATTGTCTATGCAATGCTACCTTAAAGTTAGATACAATTTAAAAGAAACAACTGACTAACTTCAGATAGTAGACTGCATTATTTCCACAAACATTTTGCCTTCTTCGCAATGTTTAGCTTAGCACAGCTCAAAAGAAATAAGTTTTAGAAAAAACATCCTGAAGCAGATGGAATCTGAAATGTTGATAAAAATAATATAACTAGTGTATGAAGTAGTAAATTATTTATTAATTTTAAATTATGAGGGTTAATGTTTTCAAATGAAGAACATAAAGTGGCCAAATACAGGTTTTTAATAAGAGCATATAATATCATTTCAACTGTATGCTACTGAGGAATAGGCTTTATACAGAAAATGAAACTTTGTATAGAGCCAATATAGAAGGAAGTGTTTAACTTATTGTTGTTATTATTATAATTCATTATTCTTATCAATGAATGAATCATGCTTTACACACCATATGAAAATTACTGTTCACTACTGAAATTCAAATGTATTTTCCTTTTAAATATTAGTTATGTCCTAACTTGTGGAGGTGATGGAGATGTGCGTATATGGGAAGGGTTTGAAAACAATGATCCAATCACCCATCATGTGGGTAATTGTGCTACTGCCATTCTCTTTACAGTGAGTATATGATGATCAGATTGTAACCATGTAATTTTTACTTGTATATTTTTATTATTAATAGATTAACAGTGCTTGACCTTAATTAAAATAAAACTTTCTAATTGTTTAAACCATCTAATATTTAGTCATACCTTGTTTTATTTATGTTTTTTTGTTTAAAAGTTAAAATTTAAAAAATTTATAATTTAGCAAATACAAAGCCAATATGTTTAAGGATTGCTAATAAAAAAAACTAAGTTATTTATGCTATGATTGATCTTGTTAATTCTGTTAATAGGTTCTTATATTTATATGACTCGGTAGCTTTGTATTGTTAACATGACTGATATAACCTTGTTAACTCTGCTAGTAAATTCTGAATGTTATTATCATGATTTATATGACTTAAGAGCTTAATTTAACAAGCTGATTGATATAACCTTGTTAACTCTGTTAGTAGTAGATTCTTAATATTATTTTCATGTTTTATTTGACTTGAGAGCTTAATGTTTTCAAGCTGAGTAATATCTTGTTAATTCTTTTAGGATAAAAGATTCCTTGTAGCTACCGACAACAATTCTATACAAGCTTATACATTTCCAAACAGAGAACCAGATGGTATAATAACTAGATTTACATCTCCAGTCCATCATATGTGTTGTAGCAGTGATGGAAAAATTATAGTTGCAGGAAGTGGGTATGTTTTGTTATTCTTTATTGATACAAAATATCAGGAGTACCATTTCAGATTTCATGAAGATGAGGCACATTATTTAGAAACATGGATAGTTTGAGTGCTTATTTTGAGAGCATTTGTTCTGATTGTTTTCTGGATTATACAAATAGTACAAACTGCACATTTTATGTATATAAGTACTGTTCTCTAAATAAACAAATGATATTAAACATAGGAATATAACTGCCTTACATGAATGGCTCCCCTGCAAAATATTCATTCCCATACGATACTTCTCTCTTCTCACAAGATTATCTATTCTTGTCCCGTGCTGCCCTCTATACGCAATATTTTTTTACGCGTGCCACAAGCCTTCTGCTCCCCCCCTATTAGAATTGAATGATTCTAACATGTCTCTCATATCAATCATCATGCATCACTTCTACACAAATAGAAGCATGTGACTCCCTCTATATGCCTCTATCGAACTATCACTTCTGGTTTGGCAGTGCTTGTGCTCAGACATGTTCCTTTTTGTTTGTTTAAAGTTTCACGGTCGTCTTTAGTATAGTCAGGAAGCATTCTTCATTTATTGTCACTTCTAGTTTCTCTCACCTATCTCAACATGGATTCAGTCAATTTGACGGACCATGTGACCTCTTTGTACTTGTTTAAAGTCTTTATAGATTTAATACTTCTAACTTTCAATATAGTGTGTATATCTTCACAAAATTTGGCAGTCTTTCACAAAAAATCATATTTCTTAGCAAAGAATTTTTAATAAAATAAAATACAGATTTGTCATATACATATTTGTTGAATATGTATTTGTTTTGAATAGTCTGTGTGCAAGGTAATTTCATGTTAAAATTGAAAATACTTTTCCTCATCTCAAAAATATAATTTCCTTGGTGTCATCCTTAAAACTTTCTAAATGCATCTAAAACTTTTTCAGTAAAACTTTATAGTTTAACTGTCATTTTCTCTACCCCTATCTCAAAACTGGATCAGTCAGTTTGACTGACCTTGTAACTATCAAACAAAAATTGAAATAAAACTAAATTACCCTTTTTTTCTTCTAGAATGACTTCAAATTGTAACATGAAGCTACACTTGTTTATCCTAAGTAGCTCTAAGTTTGTAACAGTATACCTCTATTTATAATTAAATGTTATTGTTTTATTGCTCTTTGAACTGTGTCTAATTACCATCTGCACCATTATAAGTTGTAAATCACTAGAACGTGCAGGTCATGTTACACTATCGAGTTACATTACCCATGCATGCCTTGTGAACCATTTTAATTATATTATTATTACTTATTTTACCTAATCTAGTCTTAAATAACTTAATTTTAATTTTATTTTATAATAATAGATAAAGAATAAATATGAAAAACAAGAAATAAAATACTTACTCAATCTTCTTTTTTCTTGCTCTTGATTGTTGATGACAGTTAAACCTAATTTTTTATGCTAGTGCTAGTAATGCACTTAATAATTTTTATTTAATTAAATAATGCACCAAAGAATATAAACTAATAACATGCAAAAGGTAGACAAATTCCCTTACCTTTCAAAATTGTTCTGGCTTTCTAACTATGCGACAAGACCCATTACAAGTTCATCCAATCTAGTCGTTAACTTTCCCATGGGAACGATGTTGCTACTCTGAGTAAAATTGATGCTTATCTGTTCAGAACACAACATTATACAATATGTCATTTGATTGATGAAAACCTTGGACTTTCTATTAGTTATGGGTAATATATAATGAAGCATAAGAGAGAACTATCAACGAATTCTGAAAGAGAGAAATGTGGCACGAGGGGTCTGATTTTCTATTTGAAAAAAGGTGTCTGGGCATGTTGGATCAAAGTATAACTCTATGAAGTTTCAAGTCAATCTGCCAAGAAATTGAAGGAATGGCAGTACATTGAAAAGTGTTTGGAAGAATAAGAAATAATAGAAAAATAGTAGGTCTCTCTGCAGAGACGTAATTGTAAGCTTTAGTTTGAGTCTTAAAAATGCATTGCAATATCACATACCAAGTAAGTTTTCAATATTTGATACCCAAAGTAAATATGTGAATTAATATTTTTATTTGTGACAGTAATTCAGAAATTTTTCTTTCAGTCTTGTTTCTTTAATATTTAACCCCACAGGGACTTTACTATTAAGATTGTGGACATTGCTAAAAATACTCAGAAATGTCTGTATGGTCATCAGGCTCCAATTCTCAGTGTTGCTCTTGACCCAAAATGTGAATACTTGGTAAGTATTTGAAATGTTTCTAAAAAAAGTAATATACAAGTCTGTAAATTTTCCTTTAAGTTTTCTTTCTTGATGTATTGATGTTTATACCGAAAATTTGTAATAGGAATCAAGCTGATTTAAGATATTTTTTTATCCACTTTCAAGTTAGGAGATATGTAAATAAAAAAAACATCTGCAGTTTAATGTTAAGTTTGTCATGAATATTATGCCTATTGGTTGAAACATGATGTTAGGGCCCCCCAGTGGCACAGCGGTATGTCTGCAGACTTATAACACTAGAATCCGGATTTCGATACTCATGGTGGGCAGAGCACTGATAGCCAATTATGTTGCTTTGTGCTTAATTACAAACAACAACAACAACATGATGTTAGTGTGATCAATGTCCATAATTCAAATTTTATTTTATAACTGTTAATAAGGTTGTGTGTGTGTACATGTAATTTTTAATTCTTGAAAGTGTAGAACTAAACATACTTTGATTAATATGAATATCCAAGACTTCTAAATGTAGCAATTGTATAATTGAAACATGAAAAAGAAACATAAACATAAATTGCTAGAAATTTACTGATAATAGTTTAATGGTGTAACAACACTCTTTATCAAATAGCAATTTTTTATGTTGCCTTATTCAACAGCAGCTGTATCTGATTAAAAATTTGATCTATGATCTTTCTTTTTATAACATGTAGAAGTCTTCATTAATTTACTATTTACATACATTCATGCAGCACACACTGAAGAAAATTTACCTTTAATTGTTATAACTTATTAAATTTTAAGAAGGAAATAATATTTTTGGCTGCTGGAAATAACTAAAAGAAATGGGAATGTGTTGGAGATATCAACTTTTCAAATGATTGTCTTTGCACATGTAGGCATCATCTAGTTGTGATGGAAGTGTTCGAATTTGGAAAGTCTCAAGCCAAGATTGTATCAAAATGTGGACACATGTTCCAAAAAGTAATGATTTTTGGTAAGGTTCAGTATGTATTGTTACGTCTCTGTTCGTTTGTTAATTTCCGGTATAAATTCTTCTCGAGGAACTTCAGCGATACAAGTCCTTTCTTAAATAAAACTAATTTATTCTTTCTTGATACAACTTTGCAATACACAGAATTTCCACAGTCACTTTAACTTAAACACACACTATAATTCACACACTTTAGTTTCGGTCACTACCGCTCGCTTGACTAGATTATTTGTCTCTATATCTATCTATCTGCAATTATTTGTTGAGCTTATAGAGGGCACCTAGAAAAGACTAGAGTTGCCAGGAAAAGTCAAGATACTTCGAGAATCTCATGACGTGTTACCAACGTCACGTGACTTCCGCTGTCGTAACAGTATAATAAATCTAACATAATAATGAGTGCAGCTGTCAAATCCAGCTGCCAATACTAATTTGTGATTTGAAATAATGTTGTTTATTCAAAAGAACTTGTTATTAGTGCAGTGGTACTTCTATTCATGCTTATGAAATATAAATAACTTGTTTCTGTGAAGGACTGTTGTCTTCAAAAGTAAGGTTTTTTGTTAATATTGTTTCACTTTTGAAGTGAAGACTTTCAAAAACTGATGTTTGAATCCAGTTTAAGTTAATTGTAACTTGTATATTTCAGCATGTCAAAGACATTGTGCCGTATGACGTGGTCTAAGGATGGAAAGGTATGTGTATTTTATTGTTAGATTCAGTTTCTCAGTTTCTGTTAATAAACTAAAGATTCAGTTTCTGTTTGCTTAATTTTTGTTGTTTTATTGAATTGTGCAGTATTGAGCATAAGGGACATTTTGTTGTCAGATTCACTTTCTCTGTTTAGTTTTGTTCTTTTAATGAATTGAGCATTGTTAAGCATAAAGAAAGTATTTTGTTGTCAGATTTAGGTTCTTTGTTATTTTATTGAATTGTGCAGTATTAAGCATAGGGACATTTTGTTGTCAGATTCACTTTCTTTGTTTAGTTTTGTTCTTTTAATGAATTGAGCATTGTTAAGCATAAAGAAAGTATTTTGTTGTCAGATTTAGGTTCTTTGTTATTTTATTGAATTGTGCAGTATTAAGCATAGAGACATTTTGTTGTCAGATTCACTTTCTTTGTTTAGTTTTGTTCTTTTAATGAATTGAGCATTGTTAAGCATAAAGAAAGTAGTTTATTGTCAGATTTAGGTTCTTTGTTATTTGGTTGTTATTTTATTAAATCATTGTTTAGCATAAATGAAATATTTTGTTTTGAGATTCAGTTTGTTTGTTTAGTGTTATTGTACTTTGAAGGGAAATGATAAAACACAGTCTTTCTTAGCTCACTTCTGTTGGCTGATTTACCTAATCATCTTTAAATACTTCACTTACTGGATGTTTAGTTTATTAGTGGTCTTCTCTGATCATAGTGGCAATTAAAACATAAACTCTTAGCTTTTTTGTTATGTTTTGTTTTTTATCAAATGACTGAAAAAAAGCCACCAGAACAACACTGGATCAACTTTTAGAGCATTGGCATCAAAATAATAATGTCAGGTGGTCCAAAGTTCTAGTCTCAGTCAAAGTAGATTCTTAGCATTGTGATATGAGGTTATTTTTGAGTGTTAGTATAAGTATATTGGAAAAATAAAAAGTTGTACATTCAACATCCCGTATCCCTTTGCTGTCAGTAAGTTTTAAAATGTTAAAAAGTGTTTATTGAAATGTAGAGAAGTAAGCAATTTCTTCAGATTTCTTACTCATTTTGTAGTAAACTCTAATGCTAAAAGTGATTGTTGCAGCTGAAGTTTTAAGTCATGAAGTAGATATAGAAGTGAATGCCTTTTCTTTAATTTTGGTGCAAGAATATTTTGTTTAACTACCTCAAATTTAATATTTACTTCTTTTAATATTACTTGATATCAGTCTGTACTAACTCAGTTACTGGTAAACTTTTCAGTACCTGGCTCTGCCGGTTGAGAAGGAGGTCCATCTGTACAAAAGAGGTTCTTGGGAAAATATGCAGACTCTTAAAGATGAATCAGTAACAGAAGTATGTAACTTTGTTTTAATAATCGATAAAAACACATCTACAGGTTGTGATGAAATACTATACATAATGCTTAAAAATTGTAACAATAATGTATATAGAAAATTGGTAAACATCTATAATTTGTCTATAAATTCTGATTATATTCCTAGTTTATGGAAATTATGTATCATAACAATGATACCCAAACCCAATAAATGTAAGAAAGACCCCAATAATTATAGGCCTATTAGTTTGACTAGCTGTTTGTTTAAAATTTTAGAAAAAATAATCAATAATAGATTGTTAAAATTCCTTGAAGATAATATATTGTTAAATTCTTATGAAATATGTTCAAGGAAAAAACTACCAAACAACAGACAGTCTAGTCAGACTAAGTGAATCTATTTTAAATGATTTTAACTATAGAAGTCCCACTGGAGTAGTATTACTAGACATTAAAAAAGCTTTTGACAAAATCTGGCAACATTGTTTAATTTATAAATTAATTTATGATTTTAAATTACCCTGTCTTAAAACAAGATGATTATGCAGGTTTTTTAAAAATAGGGAAAATAAAATAAGATTATATGATATTTACTCAGATTCATATGTAATCGAGCTAGGAGTACCACAAGGTACAGTTTTAAGTTCTCTACTCTTTAGCATGTATACTAATTATATATCTGTAACTACAACCAATATAGGTACTATCAATGTTGTGCAATATGCAGATAACATAACCTACTGGGTAACTAATTTTTTAGTACCAAGAATTTTGGAAAATTAATATGGAAAAAACATGTTTATTCCTTAGTTAAGAAGGGATGGGCATTATACGAGGAAAATTGTCAGTAAATATGGTGGATGTACTAGTAAAACTATAATCAAAATATATGAAGTATTTATAAGAGCACTATTTGAATATGCTTGTAGTTCATGGTCAAACATTAATATTAATAATTTAAAGATTTTACAACCTATTCAAAACAATATTTTAAGAATTGCTACAAAATCTCCTATTTCAGTACCTGTAAAATTTTACATCAAGCAGTTTTCTTTACCGCTATTGAAAGAACAATTTAAATATTTAACACAAAGGTATTGCAACAAAGATATGAAATCCTACTTGTTAAAAGAAATTAGAAAAAAGATTTAACTAATATAACTCACCTTTTTAAATTTTATATATCCACAATTGTAAATTAATTATAGTATTTTATTTGTTTTATGGTTTTAATGAAAGAATTTTATTTTATTTTTGTCTAATAATTTTGGTTGCATGAATTTGTTGTTTTTAATTTTCAAGTTTATTGCATACATGATTGGTGGAGGAGGTTCTTTGAGCCCTTACACCATTCTGCTTGGATAGGAAGAATTGATGTTGTTGATGTTGTCATCTCTTGTTTGTCTTAATAGTTCTTGGTTTAATGTGTTAAGTACAGGGTGTCTGGTGGTGTGGAATCTCCTCCCCCAAACCATGGAAAGCCTGGTCATAATTTTTTGTGTCATGCAATGAAACTTATTTATAGAGATCATGATATATATGTTTTTTATAGGACACTAGAATGCGTTCTATGTTTAATTCTTAGCTTTATGATTGGTCCATATAAAACTCATCTACCTTTCAAGCACATTTTTCTTAATTATTTATGCACCAAATTGCTCGTGGGTCCATAACTTTGGCATTTTCAGGGTTCCTAATAACCTACATTTCTCACAAAAAAGGTAAATATAAATATCAGGGATACTGCAGTTAGTTCCATTCCACTAATTATTGCTGGAATACACTATATATTTTGCAAAGAATGTTAGTGATTTCATACATTTTTTAGCCAGTTCTTTATACCAGCAAAAACTTTAAATTACTTAATATGATGCAATATGTGGTTTTTACTGTTATAATGATAAAAAAACAAGACAATTTGGATTTGATTGTTTAATGCACCAGTCCTATATTTTAACAAAAATTAAAGCATTAACATGAAATGTTAGAAATAGAATAACCTGCTCAATCCTGTAATAAACATATCGACAACACAGGAAGAACAGGATTATACACAAATCTCACAGTGATTAACACAATCTACAAACAAACAAACACACTCAATAACCCACTGATTTCACTAAATTTATAAGCTAACTGAATAATCCATCTAAACTAGCCAAACTTGTATTTCATAGTACTAAAATTCCAGGTATTAGCTGAGATGCTCAAAACATTATACCTTCTTCTGGCCCTAAAACAATACACAATTATGGAAATTTGAAATCTTAGCCTACAACAGTATAAAATGTTATAGATATTTCTTAAATCATCATGAAAATCCTGGAAAAGGCCACAAAATTCTTCTTTTTTTTTATCGTGTAGACATCCTGAAATACTTAGTCTTAGGTTTTTCAGTTTTCTTTATTAAATTTGACATTATAAAAAATGCTCTTGTATGAGTATCATAAGAAAACTAAATCATAATACCAGCTGCCTTCCCCCTAGTCTTACACTGCTAAATTAGGGATGGCTAGTGCAGATAGCCCTCGTGTAGCTTTGCACAAAATTAAAAAAAAACAGAAACAAACAAATTCATTAATTTTGTTGTGGGAACAAAGACAGAGAATGTAAATAAAATATTGCAAAGTAGAAGAGCTTAAGCAATATCGTTAACCATTGCTTAAGGAAATTATTCAGAGTTCTCAACTTTATTTTTCCTGATATTTTTCGTTCTCAAAATTATTTTCAATCAATTATAAATACTATGTTTAACACTGTAGTTAGTGTTTTAATATGTACAAATACAAAGTGAATAATTACATTGTTCTCATGGTATTGGTGACACTACTGTACCTTGTTAACATGACACTGTTGACCCTAGGATAATTATTAACATGACACCTATAAATGTACCTTGTATATATCAAACTCATTACACTAAGCTACATTGTTCTCGTGGCACTGGTGACACTACTGTATGTTGTTAACATGACATTTGTGACCCTAGGATAATTATTCACATGACACTGATACATTATTGTACCTTGTGTACATCACACTTGTTACACTAAGCTACATTGTTCTCATGGTACTGGTTGCACTACCATACCTTGTTAACTCTCTCACCATGGGCATCTTTTTATGCATGTCACGAGGTCTTAGTGAGTTACATTCAAAATTTAATTAAACGACTTTCTTTTCATGGTATACCAATGCATATGGTATAAAAATGTAGCTAATAATGCATATTTTAATAGCATATAAGTTTTAATTCTTACTTTTATAAAGCAATATTAAAAAATATCTAGAATTTACCCTAGTGTGAGAATTGTTACACTTGTTTTCTAGGCATCTCCTCTTCTATAATTTATTTACCACCCCTCCAAAAATACTAAATTTAACGTAAATTACTTAATATAATATCATCATTCCTCTAGCAAATTATAATTCTCATAGTCTTCAATCTTAGTTGGTTACAGAGCCATGAAATAGACATCCAGACCCCTCTTTCCTCTAGCAAATTATAATTCTCATAGTCTTCAATCTTAGTTGGTTACAGAGCCATGAAATAGACATCCAGACCCCTCTTTCAGAAATTGCCAGTAGTTCTCTATATTGTTTATAACCCATAGAAAGCCAAAAGTTTCATCTATCAAACAACAGGTGATCTGATGATGACAAAACCTTGTCGAAACGTTGTGCATTTGCTGTTATGTTAAACTTGTATTAAAGTTTTTCTTCATTACCCATTCAAGCCGTCTCCAGCCATTATTAGTGTACATTCTTCCCCTTGCACTGATAACACTTGTTTACCTTTTTCTTCATATGGCACTGGTGACATTAGGTGTCTTGTGCACATGGCTCTGGTGACCCATGGTTACAATGTTCACAAGGCACTGATGCACTAGTGTACCTTCTCTATATGACACTGATAACACTAAGTTACATTGTTCTTTTGGCACTGGAGTCACTAGGTTATTTTGTTCTGATGGCTCTGGATACTAGTTTACCTTGTTCACAAGCCACTGGTTACATGAGTGTACCTTGTTTGTGTAATGCTGGTTAAACTAGCTACACTGTTGTCATGGAAGTGGTGATGTTAGCGTACCTTCTTCACTGGACACTTGTGATGCTAATTTACCTTATTCATGTTGTATTGGCAACACTTATCTACTTTGTTCACATGGCACTACTGACACTAGTCTACTTTGTGTATATGGCACTTTTGACTTTAGTCAACCATCGCTAACATGCCCCAGTTTACACTAAGCTACATTGTTCATATGTTGCTCCTCACACTAATATATATATATATATATATATTGTTTACATGCCATTGACTACAGTAGTCTACCTTGTTTACGTGGCACTGGTGACACTACTGAACTTTGTTCACCTGATACTGATTACACTAATTTTCTTGTTCATGTTGTTTACCTTGCTCGCATGGCAATAATGAAACTAATTTACCTTATTCAATTGGTACTGATGACAGTATTTTACTTTATTCATATAGCACTGTTCACTTGTTTAACTGATTTACTGTCTTAATTGTTAATCTTTTAAAATACTTCTGTATATGAATTATAACTTTAGCTTTTCAAACATTTCATTATTTATTAATTAAGATATGAGCAGCTGACACTTTACTTACTATATATTTGAACAACAACAAACATTTGCAAGCAAATTTATTCTTTTATAAGTTTAGTATATCAAGAAATAATCCCTAATTACTGTAACCTGATTCTTCATTTTTAGATCATCTCTCTTGTTGCTCTTTCTCCTTGTGGGTCATTCATGGCAGCTGTAACTGTTGATGGTAGGATACTAGTGTGGGAAATGACTTCTGGTAGGAGGTTGGAGAGGTAAGATGTTTCATTTTAGCAACTACTGATCAAAATATATTGCTATGTTGTCTGATTTCATGGGCATGTTGATTATTTCATTCATGTGTATATACCATATCAAGGGTACAGTTTCAAGCTATTTTTGTCTGTTTAGTTTGCGTGTATGTAATATATCAGATATAGTTAATGTGTATATACTATAGCAAAGGCACAGATTCAAGCTCAGCATAACCTCAATTTTTGTCTCTGTTCATGTGTGTATACCACGTCATCAGGCTGTCATTATAACCTCAGTTTTTGTGTCTGTTCATGTGTATATATACCATATCATCAAGCTGTAAGAATAACCTGAATTTTTGTATGTTTGTTCATGTGTGTGTATTATATGAAATATAGAGGTTCAAGCTGTCAGTATGAACTGTATTTTAGTCTCTTTCATTCATAACACAAACTGACTGAAGGCCATCAGAGTTTTACCAACAATGTGCTAATATTCAACAATCATTTTTCTTGTAGCATTCAAGTCAAGATGTTCATTAATGGTATGAATAGTGTATGGTGTGTTTCATCCTTAAAAGGAACCAGCAAAGACAGGGTAAATTTCCACAGAAAATTGTTAAGCCTCCTTTACAGAGAATAACCCTAGATATTGCTGGTCCAATCCTGGACTTAGAGAGGTCAGCAGTACCCACTCCTCTTTATTGAATACTTCACAAAGTTAGCAAGGCTTATCCATTAGCTGATACATCAGCACAGTTCATCACTGATGTGTTGATAGAGAACTAGATAGCATGGTTTGAACCACAGAAGAAATCCACATGTATAGGAAACCAATTTCAACAGCCTACTGTTCTGAGTTATGTACTGTTAGGTGTGGTAAAGATACATACGTCAACTCCAGTTCAATAGTTTAGTAGAATGGGTAATATAAATTACATAGTTAATGCTTGTAAAGTATGTTAGCCCTAGATGAATCAACAGGGATGAACACTTGCCATACATGATGATGGTATACAGAGTAAGGATATACTTGCTGTTTGCCTAACATTCTCAGGTTGATGTGATGTGTGGCCTTTCACATGAGAAGACATCCCACAATGTCCACACAAATAATGGAGCATTTAAGATCTGCAGTAATCAGTGTACACAAGGAAATATTTCTGATACAGTACATCATCTCTTCTCACTTGTACAGCTATTCTCATTTGGTGCTGCCCTCTATGTAATCACAAGCCTTGAACTCCCATGTACCCCACAATCAATGGTTTCAACTGTGTATCATCATGTGACAACCCTTCACCAATAGGAATGCGACACACCTTCCTGACATGTGCGACTACCTGTATTCATTTCTGTTCAACTATCACTTCTTGTTACACAATGATCAAGTGCAGCTGTTTTTTAATTGTGATCTTTTTACATGTTCATTTCATTTTTTTCTTTGTGAAGTAGTGATTTACTTGATTTATTCCTAGGCTACAGTTAGTTTTTTCTGTAGTGGTTTGTCGTGACAACTTAACTTTGTTTAGTAATTTTTTTTTACTTCACGGTTTACGATGAAATTCGAAGTTTGTGTTTTACAACTTCTGATGTTATTGCCACTACTTGAGTGCCATTACTGGCTTCAGGTTTAGGGGTCACGAATGGGGATTTTTCGGTAATCATTCTGTAAGATATTGATCATTATATGAGGCATCCTTTTTCTCTTGATACTGTTTGACTTCCTTACGCATTGTCTGAACCTGCTCATGAGGAGGGGGATTTTGAAAGTTTTTCCTCCTCCTAACTTTGCCGTGTCTTCCCCATACATCTCTTACGAGGTCTACTATGCCTAACTCTGCCTTTTTGGATATGCTTTCTCAGGTGTGTTTCATTTTCTCATTTTCATATGGTACTGTTTCTTCCTTTTTTACATTCATGATGCTAGAATAACACAGAGGTTCAAGAAGTCTTCATAGAAATGAATAAAAACCCTATAACCAGAGTTCTTTTGAAAGATGGGCCTTTCAAATGAGCTCAAATTATTGGGTTTTTATTCATTCTTTTTTTACATGACCCCCATCATTTGGGTCCCTTGTTCTCCCTCTTTCCCCTGCCATCAGTGTTCACCCTGGGCATTTTGTTTCTCAGTTGAGGACTGCTGTTAGTGTGCCTCATACTCCATGGACTTCTGATTTTTATGCTTTGGTTTATCAAGGGCTGTCCCCAATAATTGTATTCATTTCTTTCATGTCCATTTTTCCACCTTTGTCTTACCCATACATCTATCCTGCAGTACTTGCCCAACATAAACCTACTTTTTGAAATACTTCACCAATCCCATGAGAGTTTTTCACTGGATACACTTTTCCTCCTTCCTCCTCCTTGGCACTATTGTCCACTTTGGCTTTATCTCTTCCCACATGGTTTTGTTGGTGTTGGGATTTTATTGGGAAAAATGCTGTCTTTTCACAGGTTCATCTGCCTTCCTCATATATTTGTGGCTTCCAGATTGCTCTTTTTCTCCATCAGTTTGTTTTTGGAACTTTTCCAGAGTCTTTGGAATCATATGTGGACTTGCAGAGTCCACATCCGACCTTTTAGTCTTTGGTTTCTCATTTTTCTCATTCTGATATCATTATCTCTTCCATAACCATTGCTTGTCCTGCAACCTCCGGTCCTTTACCAGTTTCAACCACCAGGGTTTTGAAATTTTGCTGTGTGTCTCGAAGTCAGATTCATTGTTGCCAGCAGTTCCAGTGACTTTAAGGTGGTTTCTGGTCTGGTTGGGGCACGTTTGGTCAATTTTTTTTCCTCTGTGGCAGTTTTTCACTACCGATTCTTCGATGATCCACGTTTTGTCACAAGGAGTTTCATCCTTTTCCTTTCCCCCTCCACCTTTTTCTCTTTACCAGTTTCTTTCCCATTAACTTGGGATCCAGCTACCTGTCAGAGTCTATCCAAGAGTGTGCTGACCCTTCTATCACAGAGAACTATCATGCCTGTCAGCCAGCCTTCTCCAGGATGTTACTCCAAGTTTTTGTCCTGTAATCCATCTGTCCTGCCTCAACCAATTTCTGGTTCTTCCCAAATTTCCTGTGGGGACCTTTAATACACTCAAGGGATTTTTGTCTCCTGGATTATGGATAACCGAGGTAGACGTCTCTAATGCCTATCTACATATTCATATTTCTCATCAGTCTATGTGCTAACTTTAGTTTCTCCACTACAGGGTTGTGTATCAGTTTTGCGCCTGGTCTTTCAGGCCTGCTTCAGCATCGTATGTATTTTATTATGTGGTCACTGCTTTTGCCCAACTTCTGCATTTGCTAGAATTGTGTTTACACCATTACATGGATGACTGGCTCCTGTTAGCTATTTCTGACCTCCTCATCATGTGGTTCTTCCGTATCCTATTCAATACTTTGGTGGCTCGTGAGCATCATTCTTCCTTCTCACCATTTTTCTCTTCCATCCATTTCCCACCTTTATTCTCAATCTGCTTGAGAAAGACTTCTATGTACAGTATGTGCTCTTCATTCATCTGTACGTGACATTCCTTCCTCTACCCTTACAATTTGGGATCATCAACTGCTTCTTTTGGTCTATTCCTCCCTGTCTTTTTCTTCCCAAATTCTGTTCCAGGTGTCTTTGCTTCAGGTCAGGCACTTTTTTTCCTGGGGTCTCACCTCCATTGTTCATTGGAGGAAACTCTTCAGTCAGGCATGTGACCCACACCTCATACGTTCATCTCCCACTGTCTTCACTAGGTAGCTGTTTCTTTGTGAAGATACTGACTTCCACCTTTTGCCATCTTTGAAACTTCACAGTTATCTTTTCTATATAAATTTTTCCCTCCAGGGGCATGTCCCATTTAAGAATCAGATCCTGCTCAGTGTTGAGCACTGCCTGTGCAGGTATACTTTCTATATCTCAAATCAGCATTGTAAGGCCAAGAGGAAATAATAAACAGCAACATACCCATGGCCAATAACACACACACTGTTGAGATGGGGTGTTCCTCAAGATCGCTAGTAGGTTTTTCCTCATGATATATTTGCTTCATTAATATGCCTGTTCCAGACTGTACTAACCCATGAATTTACAAAGGTAAAGCAGAAAGGGATAGCTGCCCATCCATGCTGTCCCTTCAACTGAATAAATCAGGGGTGGTCTGCTTTTAAATATAGGGTTTTCCTGGTTACATGTTGCATTGTCTCCAGTGTTGGCATTCCTGTGGATTCTCCACCTCATTTTATCCCCTTTGTTCTTCTGGGGGAATATGGGAGTCCTAGCCACTGGGTTGGTGGACCATGGAGGTATCCTTCTGAATGTTATCACTTCCATTCATTAGAGAGTAGGATGGTGGTGTTCTACTGGTGTAGATGGTAAGCGATCCTCCAGTCATGTACTCCCCCTTCGTGCAGTGGGTCCCAGAAGTTGAAGTTGCACCCAGCTTCTGTGCAGTTCTATCCGGAGGGTGAGATTGAATATATTTTGTTGAGGTGACCCACTTATGTACAGTGGGACCTGGAAGTTGGTGTTGTGCTCCAACTTCTGTGCAGTTCTATCTGGGGGTGGATGTTGCACATATTTCCAAATACATACACTCCACCTCCATGTGGTGGGTCCTGGAGGCTTATACTGTGCCCAGCTTCTATGCAGTTCTATCTGGAGGGTGAAGCTGCATATATTTTATAGTAGCAATCCACTTATGTGCGGTGGGATCCAGAGGTTGATGTTACACCCTAACTTTTTTGTGGTCCTATCTGTAGAATAATGTTGCTTTGGAGTAGATTTGTCACATTGCATTTCACCCCTTTGATTGGAACCCCTCGTCCTATCATCACCTAAATGTTGGTTCCCAGTGAATAGTTTTGGTTTAGAGCGGACCAATCAACATAAATCCTCACATGTTGGTTATGATTCCTCATCCTCTCTCCAATTTCATACTTTTGCCACATATTCTCCACTTCTGTGTCGTGGGTCTCAGAAGTTGATGTTGTGCACACATGCACTCCAACATTTGTGCAGTCCTATCCAGAGGATAATATTGTTTGGGGTGAAAAAGTCTCCCTCTAGTGCCCCACCTCAGAAGTTTTAACCTGCCTGAGGCTGCTGTTGCACTGAGGGGCTCCAATCAGATTGGATTTGGTCTGATTTGAACCGCAACATTGGTACATTCCTTTGAATTATCATTCCAATGTCAGATTCTCCGATGTATGGATGGTTGTAGATTTGCACACATGTGCCCCATTTAGTAGATTGGTTTGACATGTATATAATTCCATTCTACTCAGCTTGAGGTGAAGACCGTGTGGATCCTCCTCCTACCACAAGGTTGGAAGTATTAATCCCAATATTGCTTGTTTTTGGACTGGATTTTACTGGCCGTAAGGTCCTTGGCACCCTAGTCACTCTACACTATGGAACACATCTATTTTAGCTTTACCCAGATTCCTGTCTGTAGATGGTTCTTCTACAGTACTTATTCACTTGGATTGAAATTTTGGTATATTATGGTTCACATTTGAACCCACCTGTTTTTTTCTCACCCTTTTGGGTTGTACTCTTTCCACTTTCCACTCATGTATGCAATGTCTATTTTCACACTGTGCCAGAGTATACCTGCTGCATAAGTGGTGTGTTCCTCTCCCAACTTGGATCACAACTCAGGGGTGTTCTTCGGATAATATCAAAAACTAGTTATCTCTGTCCCTTGCACCAATCTCTCCTCCTATTCAGTGTGGGGGATTCTAGCTATGTATGTGAAAAGAAGTAATGTATCGTACTGGAAGTTATTATTTTCCTATACTGAAAATATATTTCTGATAGGTACTTACCTCACTTGATGATTTACAATAGAGATAAAGTTGAACCACATTTATCGTGGGGTAAATGGGAATTCAAGGCTTATGACATGTGAAAAAATGTTTGCATATAGAGGGCAGTACTGAACAAGAATAACTATACATATGAGAAGGAGGTAAGTACCTATTGGAAATATATTTTCAGAATAGGAAAATGATAACTTCCTAAAGACAGAAATAGAAAGACAGAAATTCAATCTGGTTATGGTACATGCTGGTAGCATGGAAGAAACTTGGATTTGGCTGAACTAGTTCACACCCGATACTTCAGGCAATTGGTCCATTAACATATGAATTAAAATGGATATTTTTATCAGCTTTGTTCATGTGTATGTACTAAATTAGTGGTACAACTTTAAGGTGTTAATATAACCTAGATTCTAATATATTTTTTTTTTCATTTCCTTACATCAGAGATACAGGTTCAAGCTGTCAGTACAACATGTATTTTCTCTGTTTTGCTCATGTGTAAAACACATTTTTTGTTTGTTTTGTACATATACAAGGTGACTACTGATTTTAATCAGAATGCTATTTTTCTAACATTTTATATATGACACCAAGCCTGCATCAAGGCTCACACATTTGAAAGATGTACGTAAAAGTTATTTTTTGTGAACACTTTCCAAAAACAGGCAAGTAAAAATTGCAAACTTGTAAGTTGTATGGAGAATTTACCTTACTGCATGTAAATTGTTTGTACATGTTAGGGCAAACACTTTTGAATCCAATTTTGCAGAATGCACTAGCCAAAAATAAAATAACAACAACATAATATTACTGTTTTACTGATCATGTCACAATCAGAAATCAGGAATTGCCAATAATTATAGCTCACAATCAGCCCGATTCCGATTATGTTCAGTAAAGTTGATGATGTCATTGTGTAGTATTGTTGAGAGTTTAACCTTAAATATTGTAATGACTACAGAGAATGTACTTTGAAGCTTCATTAACTTTGAAATAATTGAAGTTATCAATAAATGTACCATTAAAAAAAGAAGAAGAAAATCCTGATCTCTTTCTGTTTTTTATTTGGATGAGTGAAACATAAAAATTGGAACTGACTTTGTGGCTAGTACATAGTCGATATCATAATGTTATGTGACTGTTGTGAGAGACAAACAAATTCCTTACCTAAATTCATCATTCACTTCATCCATAAGTTTGAAGACATTTGAACTAAACCAGTTTCTAATCCAAGAGAAGTATTCCAACCAAAGATCAGATAAAGTGACAGCATTTGAAAGTATTTATTCATGAAGATAGGAATCTTCAAACAGGTTGTGAAAGATTTTTTTTATAAATTGGCCTTATTAAAAAATGCTCGTAAATGTATTTTTATTACATATTTAATGATTCACTTTCCAACCTTAAAAAAAGAAATAACTTTAAATGCATTATGATAAAGAAGACCCACATTATGCTGGTTGAATTATTTAAAATTTATCATCTCCTGGCTCAAGACACGTGCTTTCATCAAACATGTTTCAAATCTCAGCACTTGCACTGTGTCACTTTTGATATTTGTCTAAAATCATGAAATATTAGGTTTTTATGTAAATAAAAACGTATACACTTCCCTGTTAGTTACAGGTGCAATGGGCAGTCTATTACGACAATTTCCCATTTTCATGATCCTCATTTTTCGATGTTTAATTCCTACTTGAAAAGCCAAAATATCTAATTTTTCTCATAAAAAAGCAGTCCAACCAATCAGCCATCATGTTTGTCAAGCCACTTTAAAACAACTTCTTAGAACTATGCATATCAAGACACAAAGTATTGTTTCGTGTGGCCTAAACAATCTACAGGAGACACTGTGTGTGTGTTAATAGGAGTGATAGTTTAGTGATGTTCCACTTTCTGCAGCTTGAACTGTAGTAATCCAAGCTATTACATATTTTCAGTATACAGGACCCTTACTTCACATACCAATTTCAAAGCAATTCATTAAGAAATACACGAGATATAAAATCTCTAATTTTGAATAAATTTCTTCCCCTGTTTTTATTTTTTTTCACTGGAAGTATGGAAAATTTATTTGATAGAAAAACCTACCTAAGTTTTATGGATTCTTTTCAAACTTGTTACATAGATATATCTTTACAACCTACAATTAGGTATAAAATTTCATCTTAAATATAAGCCACATATGCAAAGTTATTCAACAAAAACTGCTCAGTTCTTCTCAAAATTTTTGTGCATGCCTACACAAAAGTCACATGAGCTGTCAGTCTAAAATTTTTACTACAGATTCACCTAAGAGTAAAGGTGGGCCATTTTTAGTTTTTTGTCATTCGAATTGAAGACGGATGATTTAGAGCAGCTAAATTACAGGGTGAAAGCACGTGCAGATACTTAAGTGTTGGTTAGGCCAAGCAAACTCCATAGTTTCTAGCTCAAGTTTTGAAAGAACTGTATGGATGGATGGTTATTATTCATTATTCGTTGCCAACTTTCAGCATAAAGTTTATGAAATTTTCCTAATTAAAGAGCATTTAGCATCATGTAGTATTAGCTTTAAGCAATTAGCATAAATAATGATGCCTGATACGGCTGTACTGAGTACATGTGGGTGATGACAAGAAACTGTTAATCTAGATTACGTGATATTACTATAAAGAAAGTTATTAACACTGTTTTAGATACGGCTGTACTGACTACATGTGGGTGATGACAAGAAACTGTTAATCTAGATTACGTGGTATTACTATAAAGAAAGTTATTAACACTGTTTTAGATTTAAGCCATTAATATAATATTTGTTTTTATCTTTTGTTTTTTTTAATTTGTTTATATTGGATGTACAGGTTCGAGCTGTGTATTTTTGTCTTTTTGTTGATGAATATTTACTATATTTGAGGTACAGATTTAACTCATCAGTATAACCTTTTGTCTGTTTTATTAGTACATTTTAAAATAATAAACTAAAAGTATTATTATGTATTATTGGCACCCCCCACCCCCTAGTGGCACAACTTTAAGTCTGAAGGCTGTTAACATTAAAGAAACATTTCGATATACTTGGTTGGTGCAGCACAGATAGCTCATTGTGTAGGTTTGTGCTTCACAACAAATAAACATGGTTAGCTGGCATTATCAGGTATATCAACTGTAAGGTATTTTATGAATTTGGTATTAAACACCATTGTTCAGAAATATGATATTACTAGTTGATCTTTTGTTAAGAAATTGTACATGCCTCTCAGGATCATAGGGTGAGATTACTTTAATTTTGATGTTTCTGTTGTATAGTATAAAGCTGGATAAAGGAACACCATTTTGTAGCATTGCTTGGAACCCTACTGGAAAAATGGAATTAGTTTTCTCTGACACTCAGGTATGCTGTAGAATTTGTTTACAATTTGTAAATTTAAAAAATCAGAAATATATGTAGAATAAAATAAATTGCAGTGTTTTTGTTTGTGTGATTGAACTCTTATTAGAGTTATTCATTTCTGTAAATTATTACTTCTCATTTTGTTTCACACACATACTTATTTCCCTACTTTTTTGTTCTTATTAAATTGGACATGCTTTTATTTTACAGGGACAACTAGGTTTGATAGGAAACATCGGAATAATAGAAAATGAATCGGTAAGGGTATCTTCAGTATGTAGTTTAGTACAATTAGAAAAACATGTAGAAACTGTTGTGAAACTGGAGCCATCAAGTGATTTTGATTATATTATTGTGACAAATTTGTTATTATATATTTATTTTAATATGAACGTTGTTTAGATTAAGTTTGTACTTAAAAACATGCGTAGCTTATAGTGTTAGATGTGTATTGCGTGTAACGAATTTGTTATTTATTTTAATGTTAATGTTTGTTTGGATTGAGTTTATATTTAAAAACGTGTCTAGCTTACAGTGTTGGATACGTATTGCAAAACTCCCACCAATTCTCCAAAGTAGTAGAATATTCGTGAACGTAAGAATCGACAATATATCCACTTCCGTAACCGGTTAAATATAGCTCAGTATTGTTGTCTGAACTTTTGAGAACACCTTTCCCAGGGCTATAAAAACAGTCAACACGACACGCCAAGGGGAGAGCCTATTAGTTGTCTGCTATAAACAGTGTGCTAAAAACTTCGAAAGCTATTTATAACACTCATATATTGAAAAAATTAAGACATTTGAACAGGAACAATTATAAATTTTGGACATCAGTGGATTCTCATCAGACATTAGTAGTTTTATGAAAACATTATCTTATTTCAACGGACCAACAATTCGATGTGGTGACCAATGAGACAAAGTTAGCTAGCTTCCCGGCAATCATACGTACATTGACTTGAAGTTACCTTGCTAGATATCAAGGGAATTCCAGTCTAGAAGGAAGATTTCTATAGTGTTTCTAAGTTAGTGAAATTTTTGTTGATAGTAACTGTTCGTAATAATTGTTGTAAATTGTACTGTTGTGTATATATATTAAAACATATTTGTGTTAAAAACGAAAATGGTGTGTATCAATCCTGTTGGCAGATATCATAAATTAAGTAAAATATCGGCATATGTTTAGATACTAAATCCAGAGTACGATTTAACTATTAAGTCTGAATTATTTACCTCGGCTTCGGACTATTTCAAATTCTCAATACGTAACAATTATATATTTATTTATTGTGTTAACATGGCCTAGTAGTTAGCATTCCTGCAAGTCTGAGTATCCGTGGAAATCATCTCCTTGCTGCAAAATCATGCTTCATTCTTTGGGCTTGAGGGTTAATTATAAGAGTGACAGTCAAATTCCATTAATGTATTAGTGTAGCCCAAGAGTTGGCAATGAGTGCTGCTAACAAGCTGCCTTCCCTCTAGTCTATGTTCTAAATTAGGTAAAGCTAGTGCAGGTAGCCCTTGTATAGACTTGCATGAAAAGATAAATAGTATTAGTTGAAACATGATGAGAAGCTATATTAATAGAAGCAACTCAAAATTGAAGGCTTCTCTACTGATTATTGTTAAACATTTTAGTGCTAGTTATCTTTGGGATTATATTTTTACTCTTCCCAAAGGTGAGTGTGTAAGTGAACGACCAGATGATCCATTTTTATCCATAGGTTATGTTATATACAGAATGATTCATAATTCAAGCACAACTGTTAGAGCAATATAAAAACTGTAGGGTACATGAAGGTTGAAATGTACAAAAAAAATGTTTATAGCACTTTGTAATACACCGTTTGGCCACCACAGGATTGTTCGAGAATAAAGAATTTGTATGCATTCAGAACCAACAACTGATGGACACATGTTAAGGATGTCGTGGAATACGTATGTTGAACGCACCAAATTAGATAGGTGGAATTACTGGAAACTAAAAGCATACCAGTTGACCCTCTAGTCACCAAAAGGTGCATCACAGAGGATCTGTGCCATAGACAATTTTTCTTTTCATATCATTCTTCACAAACCCACCAGTTGTTGCTAAGCTTCAGCATTTCACCAAACTTAAATCACCCTATATATCTTGGAGTGAGATGTTAAATGGGTTTCGTTTAAATTGTTTTCTGAAAAGGTGGTGTTTGAAAATTTAAGCATTTATTATAGCTTTACTGAATCATTTCATATAAAATGTGTTGCAAACATTATTTATAATTTATCACATTAAATGCTAATGAAAATGGAGTAGAAAGTTACAAGATAATGATTACTCTTTATACCATTCTCTACAAAGAATATTGGGGCATAATAATGAAGTATGTTTTATATTATGAAATTCACTGTCTTTCAGAGATTATTAATAAAATTTTACAAGTGTTATTAAATGTGTAGCTTTCTTACATTAATAGATATATAGTATTTTAGACTATTATAACAAGTATCAATAACATCAACTTTCTCAACACAGGCTTGGTCAATTTGACTGATCATGTGACCTCTTTGTACTTATTCAAAGTCTTTATAGATTTGATACTACTAACTTTTAATAGTATGTATATCTTTCCGAAATTTTGCAGTCTTTCAATAAACATTATAAGTCTTTCACATACAAAAAATCTTATTTTTTAATAAGTATTTTTAATAAACTAAAAAATATTTGCCCTTGAATATATCGATAATTCGTTTTGAATAGTCTGTGAGCAAAGTGATTTTCATGCTAGATTAAAAATACTTTTCTTCATTTCAAAAATCTCAAATTTTATTTATGTAATCTCTAAAACCTCCTGAATACATTTCAAATGTCTGTTTTCAGTAAAAATTTATATTTTATCTACTATTTTCTCTACCCTAACTCTATATGTGGTTAGTCAGTTTGACTGACCGTGTAATCACCAAAAAAATTGAAATAAATCTAAACTACCATTTTTCTTTCTAGAACTTTTAACAGTACACATCTATATATAATTAATTTTTTTTTTTTATTGCTCTTTTGATTGCCCTTTGAACAGTGTCTAACTACTATTCGCACCATTATAAGTTGTAAATCACTTGAGAAACATGCAGCTCACATTACACTATTGAATTTCCCTACCCACGAGCTACTCTGAGCTGCTCCCTTGCATGCTGATATATTTTTAGTATATTATTATTTATTTTATGTAATCTAACCTTAAATAACCTAAAGAGATCCCTGTTTTTACATTTTAGTTACTTTTATGATAATAAACAAAGAATAAACATCAGAAACAAGAAATAAAGTGCTTAACTGAGTATTCTTTTGTTTTTCTGTCAATTGTTGATGACAGTTAACCCTAGTTTTTAACACTAATGGTAGATGTGCATTAAATAATTTTTATTTGATTAAATAATGCACCAAAGAGCATAGAATAATAATATGCAAAAATCAGACAATTTCCTCTAACAATTACAATTTTTCTGGCTTTCTTACTATGCGACAATAGCCATTACAAATTCATCCAAGCTAGTCGTTACTTTTCCTGTGGGAACAAAGCCTGTACTACTAGTGAAATTGATGATTATCTGTTCAGAAAACATTATACAATACATCATTTGATAGGTGAAAACTTTGACTTCCTATTGCTTGTAGGTAATATATAGTTAAATGTAAGAGAACTATTAACAAATCCTGAAAGAGAGGATGTGACAGGTGGGTGTGGCAAGAGGGGTCTGATTTTCTATTTCTTTTCTAACTCTGTAATCAAACAAAATTGAAGGCTGTAAAAATTATGCTTTGTCTCAGTGATGACGATTTTATAGCAAGTAATTTACATTAAATTTCGTACTTATTGGAGGAGTGGTGGATAAAATAGAGAAGATACATAGAGAAAATGTCACATTTCTCACACTAGGGGAAGTTCAAGAATTTTTTACATATTGCCTTATAGAATTAAGAACTTAAAGCTTATATATACTATTAAAATATGGATTATTAGCTGAGCTTTTATGCTATATTAATTGGTATAACATAAACAAAAAGTAGTTTAATAAAATTTTGAATGTAAGACAAATCTTGTATCATGTGCAATAAAGGATACCCATGGTGATAAGGTCTTCAATTGTTAGTAAATAATTTTTTTTTTCTTCTTTAATAGAAAGCAAATAGCTAACCCCAGTTCATTTCTGACAGCCTTCTTCAGTAAGTTTTGATTAATGGTTTTTAGTCTTCAAAGGTTACATTGTTACATATACAAAATTTGTATATATAATCATATTTGTAGGAAAAACTTATTTTTTGCAGATATCTGCTGATTCCAAAACAGTGGGTAATAAAGTGTTATCAAGTTTATCTTCAGATAGTGATGATGAGGACAGATCAGACAGTGTGAAATTATCTAATGATGTAAATGATGATGAAATTCCTGTTGTTCAGTACCACTCAAAAAAACTGAAGGCTGTTGATGATGATGATAATGATGAAAATGGTAAGTTAAATAATTCAACTGTAATATTAATACAAAGCATTACAAAACATAGTCAGGCTGAATCATGATATTAATATTAAACAAATCATAGCTGTGCTATAAAAAGATATAATATAAAGCACAACAAAACATAGCCAATAGGAACATGATATTAATAAAAAGCATTACACAACATGGCTAGGATTGAACATGATTTCATGAACAATGATAGTAGTTCATAATAAGGATCACAAGGAATTGTGCAAAACCCTAATAGAACGTTTGTGCAAATAGCACTCTGAACAGTAAAGATTCAGTTCAAACAACATTTTAAAACCTTAACTACTGACTGATAAGACTGTATACTTATGAAAATGCATGAAAAAAGAATGTATGTTAGACTTACCAGGAAAAGAAAATCCATTCAAAATGGCTATTTGTAATTCTTATTATTATTCTCTTGCCAGCCTACAACAAAAACTGTTTGGTATGTTGCACTTAAACCTTTTGTAGGATACTAAATAAGGTACTGTGAAGGTCATATGGGTATTGAAAATTCGATCTGTTTCTTTTATATTTTACATAAGCTAAAAAATATATCATAATTCTAGTGTAAACTATGTTATTATTACCCCTTAAAGCCAGCTTTCTTACAAATATCTGGTATTCCTTTAAAAAACTTAATTAATTATTACTAGCCAATAATAGATGAACATTAGATGATTATAACATGTAGATACTCATTGCTTTGTACACTATACAATCGATGTTGTTAGTGAGCCCTATACTATGTATGGAGTGAAGAAGTAGAAAAAAAAAGTATACACATAATATTAAATTTTATTGCATACATTTGTAAATTAATCATGTTAACAGACATGAAGGTTTATTCAAAGCATTGTTTTAGATGTATGTTTTATTTGAAAAGACTGATTTTCTAGTGGTAAAACTTTATATGCACTTAGTGAGGATTGTGTCTTAGTCTAGGCATGTATTTGTCCATTGATGTGCATTATATATAAATAATTTGGTTACACAGAAACTACAAATTCTCACTATATTCTCAAACAAATCTCCATGACAATCTCCAGCTGCAGCTTAACATTTTACATTTTGAAAACAAATGTGATCAAATATTCAATAAATACAGTAAATAATCAGGAACCATATCAGCTATCTACTAGCTATGTTTATTATCATTACAACGTATAAAGTTAGCTATCATATCAAGTAATTCTTTACTCATAGTTGAGCATAAAAAAGGCAACAATATTTAATAAAAAACTGGAAATTTAAAAACCTGCAAATAGGAATCATAAAAAAGTAAGGAAATAAGGCTGGAAATACTGTAGACATTATTTACTCAAACTACAAGTCCCTATTTTGACTCTACCAAATGTAATTCTAGGTAACAGCATGGAGCCAGAATAGGGGTTTGTAGTTGGAATAAATAATGCCTACAGTATCTCCAGCCTTATTTGTTTGTATTTCAAAACATAGCCAAGCTGGAATGTGATATTAATAATAAGCATTACAAAACATTGCTGGGCTGGAATGTGATATCAATACAATCAGTTACAGAGCATAGCCATGCTGGAATGTGATATTAATAATAAGCATTACAAAACATTGCTAGGCTGGAATGTGATATCAATACAATCAGTTACAGAGCATAGCCATATGCTGGAATGTGATATTAATAATAAGCATTAAAAAACTGCTGGGCTGGAATGTGATGTTAATACAATCAGTTACAGAGCATAGCCATATGCTGGAATGTGATATTACTAGAAAGCATTACAAAACATAACCACGCTAGAACATGATATTAATACAGAGTTTTAAAAAAAAACATAGCTGGATTGGAACTTGGTATAGTATAAAGCATTAAAAAAACATAATTGGGCAGAAATGTGATATTAATACTAAGAATAACAAAGCATGGCCAGACTGTGACATAATATTAATATAAAACGTATTAAAATGAAGTCAGAATAGTTTTCTAAAAATCTCAAATTATGAACAGTTCATAAGAGCTTTACAGTTCTAAAATATGTATATCAAATTTTATAAGAAAAAAGAAAAATTTGAAAAACAAATTTTCAATCAAGCTAAATAATAGACTGTTTTGTGTTTTAGAAGTTAAAATTTTACATTTATCAATTTCTTTTCTTGGCAGTGCTTATTTGTCTGATTACATTAAGTAGACCCACTGAGAGTCCCTCTTTTACTTGTATAATTTTTTATCTGTTAAAGTTGTAGATATAGGTGCTATTAAGGCAACTTATGATCCAGTAATATTTGGAGAAGATGATGAAGATAGCAAGGACACTGTTGAAGGCACAAAAACTAAGATTATTGAAAGGATAATTGAAAAGGGCCCACCACCTCCACTGAAACAGGAAGCCTTTCAACCAGGCTCCACTCCTGTTCACTTGCAACATAGGTTTATGGTATGTACCAACAGGTACTTATTGAAAAACAATTACATAGAGATCATATACATACAAATCTATTTGAATGTTTCAGTTAATAATGGTTCTGCTTCTTCATTTTGGAGTAAATACAGGGCACAAAATTAACTTTTTAATGCCACCTGGGCAAAGTCACCAAAATGTTTGGTGTGAGAAGAGATTTTTGGTGCTGAAAATAAAGTTCATAGTAACAAAAAATAAAAATATAAGTGTCTAGTTAATGCCAGTTTGTTTTTCTCTCTTCAAATACAGGGGTGTTCACATTATCAATGCATACTTCATGTCTGGGACAAATACTGCAACCAAGATGAAACATAGAGCTTAGTAGGCTAACTTTGATGCAGATAGATTTGGATTTAAGTAGTCGCTAGTGTAAATATCAAAATTGAGTTCAAATATGGATGCATGATTAATTTTAGATCTAAACTAAAAATCTAGTGATTGGATAGTGTAAAGTTATAGAAGTAGTCAATAATTGAACCAAAATTTGTTTTAATCAAGTCTGTAGTTCATACAGTCGTGAAGTTCTTCCTCATGGTTTATCTAAAGTGGTAAATAAAAACAATACAGCTGTGTCAGTCAGTGTAATTCTGCCATTAGAGATAATGGTTATAAGATACTGTTTTTCTTAGTACAGTGGAGTGGCTTTCTAAAAGATCTGATGTTAAACTTGAATAAGAGGTTATTTTGATGATTATTCCCAGTAACTTAAAATGAGTTCAACATATTTCATAACTGCCACACTGACAGTTTACTGAAATGTAAGTTTAGGAGATGGTTGGCAAGAGAATGTTTCTGTCAGCTCTACTGTAAAATGTTGGTTCCTGACCACATCCTTTGGTGCACATTGTGAGTATGTGCACAACTATTCTGCAACACTTTCAGAAGGTAAGTTTTAATCAGAAATGGGTAAAAGAATTTGTATACCTTACTCTGTTATTAATTCTGTTTTGTGTGATATATATCAACGTGTCTCTTCTAGCTATGGAACTCTGTGGGAATAGTTCGCTGCTATAACACTGAAGAAGAGAATGCTATTGATGTCGAGTTTCACGACACAGCAGTACATCATCCCATACATGTTACAAATGTAATGAATCACAAAATGGCAGCGTTATCTAATGATGCACTTATGTTGGCATGTGGTAGAGAGGAAAATGTGGCAAGGTGAGATATTTTAGCTGTTGTTTGAGAGATTGTGTAGGCAGAGTATTCATGGTGAAACTTTGTAGAATGGATGGTAACTACCTGTTTTAGAGACACAAGTGTAGAGGACGATGTTTCGAAAGTCTTCTGCCTGAAGTTGCCGTCCATTCTAGTAAGTTTCATCATTTTAGCAGTTATTATTGCTTAGAAAGATAAATGTTTTGAAAAATGCTTCCCTTGACATGTGACAAGGTAAAATATTTTACAACTGCTTTTATTACTTAGTGTAGAGAAAATTTAGAAAGGTAATTGTTTTAAATAACACTTCCCTTGGCATGAGGTAGAAATGAAGATATGTCAATGCAAGGTTTTTTTTAAAGATTATTTTTTTACTGTATGTGTTCATTATCAGTTATTGTGGACATGTGTATGTACTAATAACTTGGCTATTTGAATGGTTAAGGAATTCATGTGTTTACCTCTGCTTTAGATAAAAGCTTCTTTTAATAGTGTCAAAAACACTTTTCTGTTTTTTGTTGTTGTTATTATTATTAATGCTAAAATGAAAATTAAAGTTACTGTAAAAAAAAATAATAATAAAGTGTAATGCCTACATTATGTATATTTTTTAGTATATGTTCCTGACAGAGCACCAACACCAGTTTAGGAAGTTTGTTGTTTAAAAAGGATACTTGGAGTGGTAACAACTTCAATGATTATTATAAAGAAACATCAGTTTATGTAAGACTTTGATTTATAAATATTTCATCTCTGTGGTTTCAGTAAACTGGTTTGTATGCACTTTGGAACATGGGATTCCAGTAAGGATTGGACAGTAGAAATGCCAGAAGAGGAGGAGGTTGTGGTGAGAAGTTAAGGGTATACTGTTTTTCATAGTTATAGGAGTATTTTTAAGAGTGGCAATTTTGTTTCATCTTACAGTTTATTTACCAATCCCTTTGAATTGTTATAACAACAAATATATTCATTGTAGCTCAGTAACATATACTTAATTCAGATTTAAACATATGCTGTATCTATTTTAGAGTATGTATTTAAGTGTTTATGAATACTTCAGATGTGTGTATATTTACACATATGAATAGTTCAGGTATATTTAAGGTTGTATTTAACTCTTTCAATACCGGATCAATCAATGTGACGACCTCATAACCATTTTGTGCTTGTTATAGTTTTCATGCTATAACTTTCAAATTAGTAAGCAAATGTTAACGAAATTTGGCAGATCATCAGTAAACATTTCAATACTTTCATACACAAAATATCTAATTTTTTAATAAGTCGTAAGGTGTTTAGAGCAATGTTTCTTTCATGTCCTTTTTTTTTTTTTCTTTCACATCTTGCCTATCTATCATGCAAAGTAATTTTCATTTTAAGATTAAAAATACCTTTATGGATCAGAAAATTTTAAAATTTCACATGCGAAATCCTTATAATGTCCGATAGTTAACAAATGTTTCTTAAGAGAAAACTTTATATTTTATCTGTTATTTTCAGCAATTGATCTCTGTATGGGTTTGATAGATTTGAATGATCTCGCAACCACCACACAAAATTGGGGAATAAACATAAATTATGCCTCTTTCATTCTAGAATGAACACAAATTATAACACGAAAACATGA